TGGTGAGCACGGGAGCACAGGGCCCAGGAGGGCAGTGCCAGCTGCTCTGCTCAGGCAGGGCCACATGCACAAACCCCAGTGAGGAACCACCACCACAGACCTACCTGGCAGTCACAGGTACAAGACAGAAGTTTGCATTTCTTCCCATTACCTTCCCAGGATAACTGACTTACCAGGATTCCACAGCACTTTGCTACCTGCAGCGTTTTTGCAAAAACACGGGATCCAGAATGAGATCAATTTACACAGAACCATGCAATTATACTCACTTTTTTCTTTATTTTTTTAGGGAAGACGGGAAAGAGATTTGGATGTACACCAGGAATGGCCATGAGGTCAAGAGTTTGATCATTAACCAGTCACAAATATTGACAGGAGAGACCTTTTGGATTCTGTGAAACACCAGAAATCCCAACCCAGAAGAAAATTCTGTGTGTTTACACACACACACACACACACACACACACACACACACGTGCATTAAGAACTTTAGAAGCCTTTAAAAAACTTTTCTTTGCAAAGAATTTCTTCAGGAACATGTGGAGGTTTTAAAAGCAGATTTCTCACACTCCATCACCAGGAACCAACAGGAATGTTTGTTACCTTGCTAATCAGAAGAGCATTACAGATCTCAGGATAGACAGAGCCTGCAAAAACTTGGATTGAGCCTCTGCTTTTTTAATAGAGTTCCCATGCCCTTCTAAGGAACTTCGAGGGGGTAAAATGAAGCATTGAGTGTGCAAGGAGTAGAAATTACAGAGAAGTTCTAGTCACCTGCTGAATCAACAATCCCTGAGCACTGGAGTAGGATGGGAACGAGCGGAGCAAGTAATGCTGCTATAAAAATATCAGTGTTGAAAGAAAAACGATGCAAATACAGAGCAGACTAAAACAGCTCAAGGGACAGAACTGCATCACTAGGGTGACTTGCAAAACACTTCTCTCTGTGCCCTCCTGCCCCACCCCAAACAATTCAATCATTTTACACATCAAAGATGGAGTTCTCTGACCATAGACCACCTCATTCTCCACATCATCTCAACATAACAGAGGATTCTTTCTTGCCCCTAAGGCCTAACTGAGACCATGCCACACATGAACAACACAACCTGCAACTAACCAGGAGAAAAACACAGGTACCAAGGAAAACAGCACACAAGGTGAACACACACTCAGTATTTAATGCAGAAGATCTGACAGCACATTACACTGCATACTGTCACTAGCAAAGAGCCACAACATTCCAGACTCTCTGTGTGAGAATCAACCCTTCAAAGGAGCTGACGTAGCTATGTGGTGCTGGATCCACTCAAGGTACTGACTAACTTTGGTATAGACTCCAAATTTATCCTTCTTTCCACACTTTTCGCCCCAACTCACCAGTCCTACCAAAAACCAAGTATCCTTATACCTAGTGAACATGGGACCTCCACTGTCCCCAAGGCAGGAATCCTTTTTGCTTCCCAGGCTCCCAGCACACAGCATGTTGTCAGTGATGGGAGACATCATGGCCTGGGCACACTCATTCCGCGCAACTAGGGGGATTTCGATGTAGCTGAGCAAAGTGGCATATTTCATTTCGCTGTCGCTGGTGCTGCCCCAGCCAGTCACCACCATCTGCTTCCCAGCCCTGCCCAGCTCCTGCTCGGCCAGGCTGCGAGTGGGAAGGCAGATGGGCAGTGCATACTTGTTGTACACCACGTGCTCGGCCAAGTGCAGCATGGCGATGTCGTTATCCGACGTGTGCTGCGTGTAGTTCTCGTGGGACACACTTTTGTCAACCCAAAT